TGATGGGCTTTCCTTTGTATGTGATTTGTTTCTTTTCTCTTACTGCTTGTAGTATTTTGTTCTTCTGTTGGGTTTCTGGGATCTTGATTATTATATGTCTAGGTGTAGATTTTTTTTTATTGTAGCTAGTTGGGGTCCTATATGCCTCAGTTATCTGAATGTCAAATTCTTCCCCTCTGTTTGGGAAGTTTTCTGTCATTAATTCTGCAAACAGCTTTTTTAAGTCATTTGTATTTTCTCCTGCTACTTCATGTATTCCTATCAGTCTTATGTTATTCTTCTTTGCATCATCTAGGAGTTGTTGGATCGATTTCTCATGATCTCTTACTGTTTTTAAGAGACCTCTCTTTTCATGGTCACTGACTGCAATCTTATCTTCTATATCTGAGAGCCTATCTTCGCATTCTTTTATTCTGTTGCGTACACTTTCAATAGAGTGTTTAATCTCCTGGATATCTGTTTGAATCTGTTTTATGGATTCCATTTCTTTCCTATGTTGGGCGTTTATTTTTTCCATTTCTTTCTTATGCTGGGCCTTCATGGCTTCTATCATGGTCCTGAGCTCATCTATTTTTTTGTCAGTTTCTGCTCTAGAGTCTCGAATCACGACTTCCATTTTGCTCACTATCTCTATGGTTATCTGGGAAATTATTTCTGTTTTGAATTTTTCTAGAGCCTGATTGATCTGTTTTGTTACTTCCTGTGCTTTGAGTTCAGGGTGTCCTGGTGGTTCACTATCGGCCTTTTCATCCTCATTTGCCCTACTGTTTGCCATTGGTGAACTGGAAGTCTGTCCTTGTGTCTTGCTTAAGTGTTTTCTCATTTTAATTTTTGTTGTCGGACTGTCCTTGGTTTAATCTCTGGATTATCACCCAAATCTTCCTGATATAGTTGCACCCTAGCTTCTGTGTCTCTAACGACCCACAGACATTCTCATCTTCATAACATCAGAGAAAACAGCTCATCAAATCAACGGCAATGCTTTACCCCAACTGATACAATCAGCAACACATTAAGATCAAGCACAACTTGGACACTGACCACCTGTGGTAGTCACTAGTCTATCACCCTTAAATCATTTGAATTAAATTGAAATCAAGAAGCAGTCCAGAACATGTCTGCAGTGAACAAACTTTTCAATATAGTATATTTACCATTTAATGGCTCAGACAGAGCGAGGATGCAAGACCCCTGATCTCAGTTAGCTGATTGCTGAACCCCATGACGCTGACTGACCTCGGGCTGCAAGGCCCAGATTGAGTTCCCCATCCTTCTGAATGGTTGAACTCCGCAACGTTCTATTACAGGTTTCCCCGCCCTTTCTTTAAAGATGTTCAAAGTTGGGAACTCAGAAAAATACCCTTGATGACCACCTCTGCCTCTGCAGAGTGGGTCCAAAGACTGGCACAGTCAGGAGGTCTGAGAGTGCGGGGGGGGGGCTTATGGGGGTTCAGGGGCACCTGCGTGGCTACCTTCCCGGCACTTGAGCGATGGCGGCTGGGTCAGGAGCAGGTGTGGTTCTCCTTCCTGTGGTGGATCGGGGCCCAGGCTTCCTCTCGGCGCTTGAGTGATGGCAGCTCGATTTAGTATTATTTTATTTGAAACATTTTTGGTATCAGTTTTTGTAAATTAAATTCCTGCTACATCACTTTGCACATAGTTCTAATGAGGACTTTTTCATTAGTGTTGGCTTTTCTTTCTTTTTCTTTCTTTCTTTTTTTTTGTACTGGGGATCAAACTTGGGTCCTTGTGCCTGCAAGACAGGCAGCAGATCCACTGAGCTAAATCCCCAGCCTAGTGCTGGCTTTTAAAAGTGAATTTTTGGAATTTTCCATATTTTATATAGGTTGGAATTATTCCAATAATGGATGGTCAATTTCTATGTTAGCTTGGCGGGATCAAGGTGCAGGATATGTGGTCAGCATTACTGTGGATGCTTCTGTTGGTTCCTTCCTTGTGTGAGATTCACATTTCAATCAGTGGACACTCAGCAGGGCGGGGTTCTCTCCCCGTCAGCTGAAGGCCTGTGTGGAGCAATGCCTGGCCTTCCTGGGGCAGGAGGAAAGTCTGCATACATGGCCCTTGGACGTCAGCTGAGCACCAGTTCTCCAGTCTCCAGGACACCAGCCACCTTGCTAAGTTTGGACTTGTTAGTCTTCATAATCGAGTGAACAAATTCCTTAAAACAGTCTCTCTCCCTCTTCCTCCTTCCAGCCCACTCACCCTCTTTTTCTTCCTTCCTCCTCACTATGGAAACAGGATGCACATATGCAACTGTGCACATGCACATGTGCATGCACACACACACTAACAACTCTGCTTCTCAGGAGGATCTTGACTAATACAAATGACAAGAGAATTCTTTGATTTCTGAAGGTTAAATAGAACCCATCTGTAACAATGCCAGCCTGTGCCTTTTACAGCTGTGATACATTATAATCCTTCTGACTTAATCCGTACTTTCAATTGTTTTCCCCTTCATCTTCCAGGCCTCTTTTGTTTTGGCCAAAGCCTCAGTGTGTGACATCCCTAGAGGTGTCCAGTCAGTCTCATACTGATAAAGGAAGCATTACAGCCACTGCCCAAGCTGGGGAGGCTGAGTCCCCAGGAAGTCTCCCTGGTGGAACTGGGAGCTCAGTGGCAACAGGGTCCCTGGGTGGATTCTCAAGAAAAGGGCAGTGTCTTGGATGTCTTGGATGTTGCACCACACATGGGTGAGGGAGTCTGTCCATGCACTGATAGGATTGTCCAAAAAGCCATCTTTGGAGAGGGAGCCTGCCACATGGGTATGAGGGTGATTTGCAAATATTTTCAGGCCAGTGTGGTGATCTCTGGCAGCATCCCAAATGCCACCCCCCAGACCCAGCATGTCCTCTTTTAAGAGTTTCTTGGACATTGTGTCCACTCTGTGTGAGCTCACAACCCCGTGTGTGCAAGGATGCTCACACAGCAGCATTTGAAAGAGCAAATGGAGACAGAAGCATCCACCCAGAGAGGAATATTTGGGCGCAGTATGGATTCAGTTATTAGAGAGAATTGAGTGGATCTGCTGCAGGGCGGGAGCGTTGTCCAGGACGTGCTGCAGAGGAAGAGAATCAACCTGCAGAGCACATATGCAGAGCAGAGCATTTCTGTAAATTGTGTGTATTTGTGTGCAAAGCATATTTGCGTGCTGGGTAGTCAAAAGTGCTTACCCCTGGCAGTGTGACAGTGTAGGATCAGGAGGAGAATTTATATTTTTATGTTATACATATCTATGTAGCTGGAATTAAAAAATGAGCATATTATTTTGGCAATAAAACAAAAAGAGTTTTTAGTGCTTGCAACAAAAATGCTGATGTAATTTTCCAGAAGGAGCTATAACAGGGCTTCTTGACTCTGGGAATTGGACTAAATGTGACTTAGTCTTAAGGGAAAGTGGAAAAAGCATTAATTCTATTAATTAATGCACCGGCAGATTCCATCTCAGCAAAGACGTCTTAATGAGGTGCCCAGGGCATCTGTTATTTATCTTACAAAAATCAGCTCAGGGCCCCTGTGTCAGGCCGAGCGTTGGGGCAAGGACCTTCTGGCGACCCGGGCGCTCCTGGCGGCCACCTCTGTGCTCTCCCTATCCCGGGGACCCCTCTGTCCCCTCCTCAGAGTTCTGGAGATGGAGTCACTCTAGGCAGCAGGCCTGCAGGCTCACCGCCACCTCTCCCGCCCTTAGCGTCCTGGGGAAACCAGGACGCACACCCTGTGTCCGAGAGGCCCAAGCAGGTGGCCAGGCACCTCTCGGGACTCAGCGCATC